TCAATTGTCAGACGCATTTGCTGACCCTATGTTATAATCCAGTTATAAATTCTCCAATGAAAAAGTCCTTAAAGGACATAGTTTATGATACGCCTGAAGCGTGATAGTTTAATCGATTTGAAAGATAAAACTTCTTGAAGAAGAAAATGAGCAAATGATTAAGATGGTCATAATAATGAGGCACATGTTTTAGAAAGAGCACAATGACATAACACTTTATAAAAACCTCGACAAAGGTTCAGGTACCTGAAAATGATGAAAAATAAAGCGAGCTTGATAAGTTATGTCACATTAGAATCGATATCAAATAACGTCGACAATATCTTGAATATAATGTAGCGCTCAAAATTATAAATGGTGATGAGGATCTTGATATTAAATCTGGCAAATAGAATTGATAGATTGAAGAAAGAGAATTCTTGGTTCAGTTCTCCACCTAAATGATTGACCAAAGAAAATACAATTCAAATATATTTTATTTCACTTGAAAAAGTGATGTTTTGGACTCATTTTGTTCATATACCAAGATATGATGTCAATGGGGGGTACAAATGAACTATTGTGCGATAAGTAAAACCATAAAATATAAAGTACGACTTGTGCATTGAAAAATAAAGTTTTTTTTTCAAAATTCTTGACATTATTGTATGGAGATGTATTCTCCGAAGGGGGATGCAATGAGATTTTTATCAGTCTAATATATGAAAAACTTGAATACGCATGATGAATGATTATCATGTCTAGCTAGACAGTAAATATTATATGAAAATCCCTGAAGGATTTAAAAGGTTTCAAAGCGATTCCATTGAATAGTACCCCAATGGATGTGAGATCGCTTAACATAAAGATCAATTTTGATTTCATTAAAATGATTAGAAAGTACTATGTTATAGTGCAATTGGTGCACTTATGTATCCTACGTTATTATTTATGGTATAATAATTCTATTAATGTGCATGCAAATATAACATTACTCTTATCGATAGAGATATCAAAGTGAATCAAATATTGATTTATAAATTTATTTATTCTAACCAATCTTGTCAAAGTTTACTGGTTATGAAACTGCAGGAAATCATTTGATTTATACCAAGTTTGATCTCAAAAGTGATATTTGTTTTCATGTGGAAATACTGTCATATCATAATATCCCACAAGACAGTCAATATTATTATTATGAAAGTCTTTGTCACTTGGATATTGCTACAAACAAGTCGTATGAGCAATTTATCTATGCCGACGAGGTCACAAACTAAGGGTTTGTCAAGGATATATTTGGTTGAACTAAACATATATAAGAAACAGGAAAACAATATATCAAGATAGGCTCAACAATGCAACATCTTCATGAATATGATTTGGTCACAAAGATACAATCAATATCAACATTTGGAAGGCTAAGTGTAATATTGTGAGACATTCTTTACAAGAATTAAGTGATGTTTCAATCAGGGGAGTAAATACGCATTGTATTCTTTTTTCCTTAATCAAGAATTTTGTCCCATTGGATTTTTCTGTTAAGGTTTTTAATGAGGCAGCTCTCAATGCGTATTACTAGATATGTGTACTCTTTTTCTTTCACTAGGACTTTTTCCCACAGGGTTTTTCCTAGTAAGGTTTTAACGAGGAACATTATCTATTGATGAACTTCAATGAGTAGGAAAAACATCATAATATGGATGTCCATTACACAATTTCTGAATAAGCTTAAAAAACCAAGAAGACAACTTACAAGCAGCTCCGCAAGCAGGTTCTATATGCAACTTACAAGCTGCTTCGTAAGTAGATTCCTATAAGCAACTTACAAGAAACTCAACAATCAGGTTCATGTAAGAAGCTTACACAAGCATGTTCCTATAAGCAACGTACAAGTAGCTCTGCAAGTAGGTCCATACAATCAGCTTGCAAGCAACTTCCTTCAAGCAGCTTATGAGGCAACAAACAATGCATATTAAGAATAACTACATATATATACTTGTTTTTTTTAGAACTTTTATTTTACATGGACATTCAAGGGGAAGTGTTGTAAAATATAAGATGAATGTCCATGTGCTCTCTAATGGGACCCACCCCTATTTCCAAGTTAAATATCCAAACTTGGTACCCAAGTAGTACCACATATTGTAACTCTCTCTCTTGCCCAAGTAAGCAATTTCCTAGGCCTATAAAATGGTCATATTATAGTGAAAATAATAACAAGATTTTCTTTGTCTTAATTTCTCTATGAGCAACATACATTTCTCTCCTCTCCTTCTTTCTTCTTATTAGTTTAGTTATATAATTACTTTTATTTATTTTATAACAAAATTATATTTATAAAATATGTATTACATAAAATAAAAATTCGCTAAAATTTATAGGGAATCACTACATAGGCCGTAGCCTATGGAATATTGTCATAGTTTTTGTGTTTTATTATAATCATTGGAAAACAATTAGGTTAGTATTTCTATTTAGCTATTTATGCTTTTACTTGAAATCAAACTTAATCAATATTATAAAGATAATTTAATTTGTAGATTTGATTAACAAGTAGTAACACTAACACCATGTAATATTATCTTGTC